ATGCTGTGATTGTATGATAATGTGTTTAATCAGACCTAAATAACAGTGTGAAATTGTATTTAACTATAGATAATTTCAATTGTGATTGTACTACTTTTTTTTTCTCTAGAAATAGTTCTGCGATGTCTATTATATTTCATTACTTTCCATGACAAATTTGCTTAAGCAACAAGTAAAATGAAAGAGAGAAGCAAGTGCCTGAAATTGTGACCTTTAAATCTAATAGCATCATTAAAAGTGTCAAATGTGATTTCTGTTGAGTTCAAATAAGCTAGTGCTGTGGAGATAAAATCTTAATGATGTGTGATTCATTACAATTCAATGAACTGTGCAAAAGATAAATATGGGAGAAAAATCAGCACTTCTATATGCAGGAAATTTTCTCAAAGGGATTTATTTCCAAATAAGCTAAAGAATGCTCCATTAAACTTCTCAAACATGACAGAAAGCCACTAGATTTAGATTTTCTTGTGACAGACTTCTTGGAGAAACGCAAGTCAGCAATTAGAAAACTTTCATTTACAGCAGGAGCTTAACTTCCTTGCATTGCTAGAATAAATTGTCTGCTTTCATTTCTAGGCTTGTGAATTCAACAAAGCAGTGCTGCAGAAAAGATCTCAGCTTGTCTGTAGGTTAAAACATGTACCAATTCCTACGGAAGTGGGGGATCCCCAGCCTACAAAGCTGTATCCAGAGGTTTGGGTGCAGGCCTAGGATAGGACTTGGAGTGGGTTAGTCCAGACAAGTGTCTGTCCAGTATTGTATGCTTTGGCAAAAGACAGCAGATAGAGCCTTCTTAACTTCCTGGAACCTCATGTTGTCCCAGGGAATGTATTTTGAATTTCTATCTTTGCAGACCTGTATTGAAAATGAAGTCAAGTTCAATGTTTCTAATTCACCCATTATCACTACATGAGTGGTTGCTAATCGGAATAAATTTTACTGTTGGTTTACAAGTAATTTTATGATAATTAAGAGTATGTCAATTAATTTATTAACTTCTTGAGAGAATTTTGCATGTGCAGTTGAGTGTTGTATACAATATGTAAGCAAAAAATTAAGTCAGACTTCATTGTCACAAGAACTGGTACAGGAAAGAAAACCATCAATACATTGTAAAAGTAATTAGGAAACAGTACTCTGTGGGATCACTTTCACACATTTTTTTCAAAAGTCATAAATCAATATCAAAATTACTAAAGGGACTACTTCATGAGTCCATCAGTAGTTTTAACAAAAACAGATGGCAAAACTGTATATCATTGTGTAATCTGTATAAAATTACACTAATATACTAAAGGGACTACTTCATGAGTCCATCAGTAGTTTTAACAAAAACAGCCATTAAAAGGAGATGGCAAAACTGTATATCATTATGTAACCTGTACGAAATTACACTAATGGCTTATAAAATGATAGTCTAAAAATCTATTATATAGTACAGGTAACTGTACAAAGCTTCCTGGAAAACAAACTGACTATTAATTACATTAAAATATGGGGTATGGGTTGAACTGGCTTACAAGTCTGAGTAAAGATGGAGGCTGGTATTCAGTATGACATACAAAAGTAACTGACATATTGAGTAAGTGGCTGAGAGGAACCCCAAGGACACATAAACAGTTGATAAATATGCAAAAATTGAATTTAACTCTAGTGCTTATTCTTATCTGCAGTCCTATAATTTTTCTGAAGCTTTGTGTCATTTGTCTTATCCTGAGTGAATATGTTACCTCATGGTAGAACTCTGCCTATGAAAATTGTAATGCGTTATTTAATTTCCAAGGTTAGTTTTCCTGGTATTTTATTAACAATAATATCAATGTTGTACTATAACAATAATAGTGAGGTTCAAATTGTAAAAGGCCTAGATATTCACTTGCTGGTTGACTGAGGTGTAGCTAACATTTCATTTCTTATGATGCTTGATAAGCTCCAAAATCTAAATATTTAACCTTCTCAACACCTTGAGAAGATTGGTGGATGAATTTTATTACTCCTCCTTTGAAGAGGAGCAAATGAGACTCAGCCAATCACAGAAGATCAAGTTCAGAACTTAGACCTCAGTAAGAATATGTGGGTTGTCTGGTTTTTTTTTCCAGGAGAAAGTGAAATAATCTCATTAAAAGAAATAAACAATAAATATTCACAAATAAACTCAGGTCTCCTGTGCATTTTTTGGTAGATGACAAACTTCATGTAAATATCAGAGCTACTTGTAAGCCATCCATAAAAGAAGGAGTAGCAGTTGCTTCCTCTATTTTATATTACCAATTGGCTGTTTCTGCAGCTGGATTTGGAGTTCTTAAACAGAATAAATATGCAGCAAGTAGAATTGATCTCTAGTTTTAAAAATTTGCATGTCTAAAAATTACAATATTTGAATTTGGAAAATGTCTGACTAGTTTGAATCAGATTCATTATAAGCTTAATGAATAATTAGAAATGTGGCAAAGATCTATTCTGACATTTGACAAACCACAGAGTGTGGAAATCTGGGATATATTTATATCCTAAGGATTAGCTCCTGTATAGTCTGGTGATATTATTCCATCTTAAACACAGTCTTTCAGGTTATTCTTACAGACTGATGTTGAAAACAAAACCAAAAATCAGGTCAATAGCAATCACTGGAAAACAGGCTTTCTAAAGGGTTTTGTAATGATAAGTATGAGCTGGAAGGTATTAGCATGTTTACTATGACTCACCTTTTTATATGGTATTTGTATTTTAGGATACAAAAGCCCTAATCTCTTTCAGAGAATATAGCAGAAGTCATGCAGCTCCTATTTATAATTAATTTATAGACTGAAATTTTGTCTTGATCTACCTGCCTACCTATCACTTATTTATGACAGCAACGTAGAAACTCAAAGGAAGAGGAAATTATCAGATAACAAAACCTCTGCAGTTTTCAGGCCTATCAGCAGATTTTTCGAAACTCAATCTTATCAACAAGCCTTAGAGTAGTACTCTGCCTTATGTCATATCTGAATTACACCAAAATTAGTAAGATGCAATTTCCTGCTAGATTTTTGTAAGACATCTTTTTTACTGTAGAGGTGAAAAGCTGCCATTCCATGCTCATCAGAGAACTATATGCTGTAGATAAATTAGAGACTTGAGAGCTTTCTTAAAAGATGATATATTATGCTACTTGATTACTAACAGAATAAAACACCATATATCAAATTATACTACTTTATTTCTAACAAAGAAAAATACACCATATGGATTTGTGTGGTACCAATAATGTAATTTAGACATACAAAACACATCAAGAAAATCCCCTAAACCCTTAATAGCACAACATGACTTAAAATGATCTTGTGTACATTGCAATTTTTTCTGGACATAATGGAAATAGAAAGAAATAAGCACAACTTGGTATGTTTTTAATGCTCATTTCTCCCACTCCTTGACCCCTCCCAAAAAAAAAACCACTGAAAAAAATTATCTCAATAATAATAATGATAATGATATGATGTGATCCAGTATTGTGGTCAAGGAAACTAAGGCAGTAAAACTCTGGCTAAGACACAGTGCATCAGGGTGAAGTGTCATGCTGTGCTCTAAGGGAAGATACCACTACTATACAGGCATAAATAAATGTACTGGGGGCAATCTCTGTCCCTGAGTTCTATATAAGGGTCTCACACCAATTTTTAAAGAAAAATGCTGAGCAGACTGTAATATATAGTCTCTGCCACTGGCCCAATGACATAGGTAAATCACATGGGTTCCTGGAAGAGGAAGAAAGGTGGGCTTTATAGAACGACTTGGGAACTTGACAGAGAAGAGCTCAAGGGTATTAATCAATGACCATACCCTTAGACTTGAGGAGAAAGAAATTCTAGCCCACCACAAACTGCCAATTAACTGAATTTTTGCACGGTGAGGTAAGCCTTGCAAAGAAGGCAAATCTTTTGTTGTTTACAAGGCCTGAATCTTTCAAATAGTTTAAGTTACTGTGGTAAAAATTCCTTTTAAAGCCAGTATTCATTGGCATTCTTACCATTCTAAAAGGAAGCTAGGCTTAGCTGGAAATGTTAGGCAAATTTGTGATCAGATGACTCTGTGAGTCATTATGTTACAATCCAGACAAAAAGGGGTGTTAGTATACTTACCTGAATCACAACTGTGCGCTCACTTGGTTTGGAAACATATCAGCCCCATAGCAAATAACTGGGAATAACAATTCCTTGTCTGAAATAGATGCTGCAAAAGCATTAATAAAAGAACAAGCAAAAACACAACAAGTTTATTTAGATTGTCAAAAAAGGCAAGTCCAAAAATTGGCTTGCATGTTTTTTTTATTTTTTACACAGATAATTACATATCTAATAATTAGAACTTGCAGCTGGATGCTCAAAAGAGCTTGGGCACTGGTGGAATTGGTGCTGTAATACTGAACTGCAAATTTCTAATCTGGAAGTTCTGGAGAGTGAAAAAGCTGTTTGCATTCAAAATCGTGATCCTGAAACCTCACTTTACTACCATGACGCCAACAGTTTTTAACAGTACCCCTGCTAGTAAACATATATTTAGTGAGTAGGAGGCAGTCTTAAAAAGAACCCAGGTTTACTTGCTCCTAAATAAGCACCTTTATAATTGACCGCTTTATCTCAGCATATCTTTGCTTCTGTTTTGCTTTGGTAAGGTGGGTGGTAGACCTTTGGTAAGGTGGGTAGACAGAGTTGCAACACTGTAAACCCTCTGAAACCTCTTTGGATTTAGACAAGATGAGAACTGAAGTGTCAACTGAAGCGTCAAGAAGATGCGTATGCTCACCAACGAACTACATTAAAGTACTTTCTGTATCATTCTGTGTAACACAATGCTGGTTTCATCTGAGTGACAGTTTTTCACAGACATGGAAGAGATCCAAGAATTAGGGAATTCTTGGAAATTACCGTAAGCTTAGTACCTTTAGTGTTTTTTTTTAAATTTTTTTTTTATTTTTTTTTTTTTTAAGCAAGTGCTCACAGCTGTGTCACTACTGGCACGCTGTCCTGCTTCCACGCAGCCGGAGCGCTTGCCCTCAGCGCGGCTCCGCGTGGGGACAGAGGTGGCGCCGGGACGCCCTTTGCTCACTGGCCTGGCGGGAAGGGACGCTGGGCAGCACGGGAGGCCTGTGAAGCGATGCGCCGGGGCCCACAGCACCCCGGAGCCGAAGCCTGCCTGCGGGTTTCCCAGTGACTCCTCCGGAAATATGTGGCCCGGCCAGAACGCGCTGAGCCGGGCGCGGAGGGCGGCGGGCGCTGCCGGCGCGCCCAGGTGCGGCCTCTCCTGCGGCAGGGAGGGACGGAGGGAGGCAAGGAGCTCCGCGGGCGCGGCCTGCCGGGGAGCAGCGCGGGGGTGGGGTGGGGTGTGGAGTCAGCCAGGCAGGAAGGAAGGAAGGAGAGAAAGCAAGCGCGCAAGAAAGTGAGCCAGCGGGGAGCCGGAGGGAGAACTGAAAGTTGAAGCACTCTTAAAGCCCTGCGCTTCCTTCTTGTGCCTCCCCGTCCCTGTCAGCCGCTGGCGTTTGGCAGAGGTAAGGCGGGCTGGGCGGGCGCGGGGTGTGCGGGGTTTGGGGGGTCCGGGCAGGGTCTGGCCGCTGCCGGGGGTGATGCTGCGGCTGCCGGTGCCGCCGGCTGCGAGCCCCGCGCTGCTGCTGCTGCTACTGCTGCCCTTAGAGCTCCCTGCAGAGCTCCCTCAGGGCTGCCGGACAGTGCGCGGTGTCTGGGGACGGGCCGTGTCCCGCATGAGCCGCACATGCCGAAATAGCAGGTAGGCAGGTAGAAAATAAGGCGTGTATTACTGTTTTCTTTGTAACTTCAATTGTTTCAACTATTTGTATGTAAATGCTATGTTAAAGAGCAGTGCTTTACTGTTGTGTGTTTATTTACTCTATGAGTCGTTTTTGTGAAGGCAGACTTGAACAGACCTCACGTTAGCTGCCATTATATACCTACAAATTTTGTCAGAAAACTTGAGAAAGTCAAAGAAGTTGTAGTATGTAATGGATGGAGAATACGAATGAAGGGTACAGCACCCTAGTGTTGCCATTGCAACTTCTCAAAGTTCCGATTCCACCCTGAGTTTGCTTATTCATGCCATTCAGTTCCTTACTCCAGCGACTCTGCAAGTTGCTCCACTGGAATTTCTTGCAGTATGAGGGTTGACTCCGAGGTAACGAAAGTTGCCGAACCTATTTCTAGAAGGCAAGTGCTCTGAAATTGAAAAAAAAAAAAAGAAAAAAAGATCAACCAAGAAACAGTTTTACAGAGGATGTGATTAAAGTTATTTTGTAATTATCCTCTAGGTTGACCTATGCTTAGTAACTTCCTTGTATTGGTAGTGGCAATAGTTCTATGGCAATTGCTGCAATCGGTATCTCTTTTTTTTCTTTTTTTTTTTCTTTTTTTTTTAAGGCAATCTATATGCTGATTGTATAATGTAGCTTTTGGGAAAGACCTTTAATCTTCAATGTTTTCTATGTTAATCACGTCAGTTTGTATATAGTCAATTGCAATGTGAAGATGAAATTTGCTACTTGCAGATTTCGTTCTGCTCCATGGTAAGACCTGTTGCACTGTTTGTTTGGTGTTTTTAATTTTTTTTTTTTTTATATTTAATATATTTATTAGGATTTTGATCTAGTACGTTGTTTAGCAGAAGTTGGGAGCAAGCCTGAACTTGCTTGTGTCTGTTGAACTGATTGCTCACAGTGTGATTATCTTGCCAAGTACTTTTAAAGGTTTGACAGTTTCTTCAGGTTTGTATCTGTATTGATATTAAAAAGGGGAAAAAAAGCCTAGTCCCACTTAAGTGTTTCTGTGTTCACCTATAACCTACTGTTCACACATTTCATTATTAAAATTTGGGTTGCTTGCTTGTTTCAACAAAGATTTTTTTATCTCCCAGTCAATTTTGTCTTCAAGAGTTTTCAGCTTGAAAAATCAGAATTAAAGAGTTTTAAAACTAGTAGATACAGCTTTCCAGAATGCTAGATGCACGTTCTTACCCTCCATGTAAGGAAGGGTTTTGAGAATTAGAATTGCTATTTTTCTTTGGTGCTATTTAGCTGTCACTTTTAGTAAAAGAAAAGACCTGTTAGGCCGCTCATGATTTTTTGCCACTCCTTGTCTAATTCCGTTCCATAAGATGGGAAAAGGAAAAAATTGACAATCAGTTTGAAGGAAGTGTAAAAAAATTTTTTTGTGAAAGAAAGTTGGATGATTGCATAGAAGGCTTGACTCACATTGTAATTCATCCCCTGGTGAAACTTTTTTCTTAGAAGAAAAGCCCAGATGGTTTTCCTTGTATTGCTTTTTTCACATAGAAGTTAGGTGTTTTGTCCCAATTTTGATAAAATGGAATGGTCAGGTGTCTTCCAAGAAGTTTAATGTTTTTCTTTTTTTTTTTAAATAGCCATTATAGCATTTTCCTATTTTTAGTTACCATGTTGAGTATGGTGTTTTTTGTCTTGGTTACACTACTTAAAAGAATATAATATTACGACAAGAAGCAATTTTATTTAAACAAGTTCAAATTCCCCTTGAGGGTTTTTTGTTTCTTTGTTGGTTTTTTGGGTTGATTTTTTCTTTTTTTGCTATTTATTTATAAGTAGGAAAAATCTGTTTTGCCTTGTTTCAGAGAGGAGATTTGTTTTACGGAGTGTATGCAGCCATGTGCACTAATGTTGTTTACAAATGCTGAATTTGGGGTGGTAGAAATATGGATGTGAAAGAGAATGAATGTATTTGTACCAATGTATATATACCACTCCCATTTCTAATACTGTACATTCTTTAGGGTTTATTTTAAATTACTTGGCAATCAAAGCTAAGGAGGAGATTAAATTATTTTTTAAATTGATAACAATCACATCAAAATAGAGTAATGTATTGAATAAGGTGGTCCTTGAGTTCTGCATTCTTGAGTTCAAACCTTATAAAACACTTTAAGAAGTGATTACATATTTATGTTCTAGCCTGCAAAACGCTCACCAGTGTGTGTAGATTTGTTTAGCTGTTTGTTACTTTAATCTTTGTGTAAGTAGTGAAACCAAGCCAGTTCTCAGTATAACCCTTTGCTTAGACCCACAAAATAATATGTAATCTTAGTGGTATTTAACCAGTTGCGTAGCTAGGGCAGATCTATAACATGTCTTCAGAAATCTTGATGGATGCACTGATAGCTTCTGCCATAGACAACTACAGAAACAGAAAGTGGCTTGGACTTTATCTTGCAGCACTGTTGGCATTTTGTGGTCAAAACGTCCTCTCAGCAAGCAGTTCCTTCCTTCCTCTGTTACATGCTTTGTTCATAAAATAGCAAAACGTAATAATTCTTACAGATTTGGATGTGAAGTTGTTCTCTGCTAGGTAACCCTTTGCATTGGTATGTGGTTTATACAAAGATGGGTTAGAATCCAAACAGCTGATAACACATGGCTGTAACAGCACTGGAGGTGTTCTGGAATAAGGTGTAGGCAAAGCTACTGCACATAGGAAAAATAGTATTACAATAGACAAGAGAGATTGTGTGGGTATAAATATTTTTATTTATCTATTATTTATAAATATGTAGCTAAAACTACTCTCCCAGGTGTGTTTTTTGTTATTATGAAAGGTGGAAGGATTGAGAAGATGATACTGTCTGAAAATGAACACTAATACCTTAGGGAAAAAGTAGCCAAATGCTGTCATGAAACCCAGAACTGTCAAGGAAGGTGGAAGTGGCTGACATAACCAGCTGCAACTGCAACTTTAAAAGCCTTAGACTGATATGCTAACGCTGTAGGGATTTTATATACTTGAATATATGTGTGCTTTGGTTGTTGTTTTTTGATGGTTTTGTTTGTTTTTCTTTCTCTTTTTTTCCCTTTTGTTTGTAGTCTGTCTGATTGTGGTTTTTGTCCAATTGCTGGATATCTGAAAGACTATTTTCTGTCCCAGACAGTACCTGTCTGATATTTTCCCCCCGGTACGTAATTTCTGTACTGTTTTTTCTTCATTCTGTACTCAGAATCTGAGAATATATACTCATCTAGTTAAGAGGATATACATTTACATTTTTCAGGGTTTAGAGATGGATGGAGGCCATACTGTTGAGTTGAATTTTATCCCTTATGACTAGCGGCTGCTGTGAAAATTTTGAGGAAATGCTGAGTTTTCAAATTTTTAAATGAATGATGGATGTTTATATAAGCATGCAGGTCAGGATGGGACAAAGGTAAATACGAAAGTGGATTGTTAATCTGTTTAGATCAGTCCAAGGCTTTTTAAATTTAAATGACTTGGGAATCTTTAATTGAGGGTTAACTCTGTAATAAAGTTAATCCCTCTTGAGAGGCTGAGATCTGATTGACCTATAGAGTTGTCTGTCTACAAGGTTTTAATTGTATCAATTTAATATTCAAGATAAGTCACTTCTGAGAATTGCGGGTAGTGATTGAAGCTGATAAAAATATATCCAGAAAAATGAAGCTAGAGACTAGAGAGAATCCAATGATTTATTTTAAATAAAGAATCATTTATAGCAATTGGTACAGTAAAATGTAGGCAATGTTTTAAGCTTAAATTCTGGATCATAAGTGCTGCATTTTTTGTCATGAAATACTTTGAAGAATCAGATATCGATGCCTACTACCACAGAGAAATTGTGATCTTACAATTTCTCCTCTTTCTAAATGATACTTAAATCTTAATGCTCTTCCACTGAAGCTATTCCTTCTTTTCCAGGCTGCTTAAGGCTAGTACTTGCATGCCAGGACAGCTGTTGCAGTCAGAAGGTTTCCCCAAGGCCAAATTACTCTTTACACCGAGAGAGAGAGAGGTGAAAAACCTGTTGAGTGTTGCTGATCTTAAACCTTTTTTGAAGAAATACTATTTCAGGATGTTTCAAACACCTTCAGAACAGCAGCATCTGGATTTTGTAAATTGTGAATGTAGACATGGCCCTGAAAGAAAGAATAACTCAAACAGATGAAATCTGGAGTCTTAAGAGCTGAGTTGGAAAATACTCAGGAAAAACTCATGGACAGCCAGAACTTGCTTATGTGGTCATGCCTGTTCTCTTTGTGGCCAAGGGAAAACTGCTTCCTTGTCAGAGTTGAGGTGCTGGTGGTTGCCTATTTGCTGTGTTCCTGCAGGACAGTTTGTTTGAAGGGCTGGATCTACTGTTGCAAACCATGTCATTGAGGATAGTACTTGTTCAGTTGGGTTCTCAGTTGAAGAGGGCTTGAATGCATAGTTCACATAGAATGTTGTCATTTTTCCTTTGTTCCATTGCAGGTGTGTTTCTATGTTAAAAGGATTTTGAGATTGGAAGATAAGGGAGTGGAAGCCCTATTCCATAATTAATTGGTGCTAGTGTGGAAAAAGGAAAGTTTTAGGTTCCAGTTGTGGTCTTTGATAACTCTTTCTCTCCCTGATACCCAAGTACTGTGTAGTAAGAATGTGTGTGTAGAGAAGTGGTTCATCTCTTAACTGTTCATCTTAATGTTTAACTACTAGGAATATCTGTTTTAAGTCTGTGTTACTTGTGCTGAGACTTTGATTTAGCTATTTTCTTTATATAGGCTAAGATAAAAGGATGGGTTTACCCTTATTGTAATTATTGTATACAAACAATTAAAAAATATTAGACAGGGAGTCTTTCACAATTTTATTCAAGGTAATTGTGAGGTTCAGGTGAGAATTTTTTTAATGTCCTTTGTCTTTTCTATATGTTTGCAGTCTTTAAAAAAAAATCAGTTT